ATTATTATAATTAGTTTTATTTATTATTATTATTTTTTTATAAAATTAATAATTTTAATAATAAAAAATAAAAATATTTTAAAAAATACACTTATTTGTTTTTAAATATGTCTTTATTAGTCATTTAATGTTAAACAACAACCGTTAACTATTATATAGTGAAACAGTTATATTTATTGAATCCGTTATTTACCATCTGTTATTCACTTTTCGCTATCCGCTATCCACTATCCACTATCCGCTAACCGTCACCCGCTACCCGCTGCTGGTATCCTCTATCCACTACCTGTTATCCACTATCCACTAAAATTTAATCGCTATACCAAACATGCCATTCATCTAAAACTTGCTCTCTAACATGACCAAAAAGTTTCATACTCAGTTTGTATGAATATATATATATATATATATACTAATTTGGAAATCAAATATTTCTCTGTTAACTACACATGGTAATTTCAAGAACCACTTAGAAGTTAATCTCACTTGGATCTTAAATTTATATATGACTACTCTTATAGCATATGTTAAAAATTTTAAGGATGGATATATAAAATTTAAGATACCAAGATTTGATAAAATAAATAAATTATGTATTTTAATCTCCATAATTAATATATTATCTAAAAATTTTTAAAGGTCATTAAACAAAACTTACAAAACAAATATAGTGAATATTGGTATTTAGGTCTTTTTCTCCTTATTCAATTTTTGTATAATAATAATCAATTGGTCATACTACTATCTAATTTTACCATTTATAAAGGTAAGGTTTTTCTAAATGGGAAAACAAAATTAACTCATTATAATAATTTTTTAAACTCTATCAAGTACGTCACATTTAATTTTAGACTATAAATCTACTTATATCACATTATATAAAATTAAAATTAAAATTTAAAATCATTCGTATCACATAATTGTATTAAATTTTATCAATTTTTTTCATTTAATCACCTAATTTTAAAACTAAATACAATTAACAAAAACACGCATAAAATTTCAGGGAATACCTAATTCCTCTGCAACTTCCAAGGGGAAGCTCATGACACTCTCGGAAACGACAACGTTATCTTTAGTTAGGGGATACGAAAACAAAGATTGTTTGGAAATGTTCATGTTTTTCACAAAGAAAAATGGAGAGAACATAGGTAGGAAGATGAAGAGCAGAACCCAACTAAAAATGGAGAGAAAACCAGAAGGAGCATAAACGAAAATGGAGAAAAAGTATATTACTTCAACTCAAAAATATCATTGATATTTTGCTATATTTATAGCAAAAATAACATAATAAAAAATAATTTTCTCACCTAATATTTTAACCCATACAAGAAGCATTTAAAACAAAAGATTACATTCAAAGATTTACTGCCATTTCGTGCAGCTCCATGTTGTTGCACTGTGCTGCTATTTGCAGCCTTTCATTTGCATTTGCATTTCATTTTCTGTTCATTTCAGCCTCATTTCCACAACATTTGCAGCTTTAGCTTGCTGCACTTTGCTGCTACCGTGCTATTGGTACAGCTCTCCCTTCATTTTGCTGCCATTTTGTGCAGCCTTTCATTTTCATTTGCTGCTACTTTTGCAGCTTGAACACCACAACTCCAACAGGAAATGACACTGTCGTAGCATTTTGTAGACTATATTTTCATTATTTTGTTTCTGGTTGATGATTGACCGACAAAACAAAGATTGTGTTGTGACAATACTTTCTTCCTTTTCTATAATTAAACAGAAGAATGTGGAGGTTGAAGATAGCAGAGGATGGGCCGTGGCTGACCACGGTGAACAATCACATCGGACGTCAACACTGGGAATTCGATTCAGAAGCTGGAAGTCCAGAAGAACGTGCCCAAGTGGAAAGGCTCCGCCAAAATTTCAAGAATAATCGGTTTCGGGTGAAACAGAGTGCAGATCTGTTGATGAGAATGCAGGTATGTTGTTGTAAACTTGGATAAGAAAACAAAAGCATGCACAGATATACGTATAGGTTTGTGTAACGTTTGAAAAAATTCTAGAGAGATGCTTTTCAGTGGGAGCATGAGCATGACTAACTTGGCTGTGTAGCTCTGAACCGTGCATCTGCCCTCCATTGTTGAATTGAAGAGCGTGGGTGTGCATAGTGGGTATCATCATAATTGAGCTAAAATGACTAGGGTCGAATCTTTATAATTATTCTCCTACGTACCAGACGGTTAAAAACAGGGATTTCAAATAAATTCATAAAAAAGAAGAAAACTTTAGCATAAACACAAATGTAGAATATATGTAATAATAATATACATGACTCATAAAAACAAATGTAAAGCCCAGAGAAACGAGCCCAAAAATTAACCCAACTAAGATGAGCAGCCTCACACCACAGTCCACACCTTACAATTCTGCTCCGTGAAACATTCCCCGTCGTCGGCCCGTTGCATCCTGGTGACTTGTTCTGCTGAGTTCTGCCATTTATCTCCTCGTTTCACTTTTCCGTTCTGTTAAGCCCTGCTCAACAGTGCGAATTCCTTAGAGGAGCTAGTTACAATAACTAGATATTGATGGCGAGGAGGACGATGTGGGGGAGATCAAAGCCGTCGCTGGCTCCGCAGACGAGGACAAAGACGGCGTCACGGATCCCCATTGCCATAAATTCACTTGAGTGTCCTTTTGAATTTGATCGCTAAAACTAAAACTAACTTGTTGACAGCTTAGGAGAGAGAATCCTTGTGAACCAATTCCTCCTCCAGTAAAAGTGAAAGATACAGAAGTGGTGACAGAGAAAGCAGTGACAACTACCCTAAGAAGGGCTATCAGTTTCTATTCATGTCTTCAGACCCAAGACGGTCATTGGCCGGCTGAATCTGCAGGCCCTGTTTTCTTCCTTCCTCCTCTGGTCAGTACCAAATTAATTAACATGGCTCATTTTGGAACATAGTGTCTTTTTTTTTTGAACAATATAGAAAATATAGGGACAAGACACACCACAACTCCAAAACCGGTTGGTTTCAGCAATTCTAAAATGTGAAAAATGCAGGTAATAACATTGTATGTTACCGGGTCACTTAATGTGGTTCTGTCACCAGAGCACCAGAAGGAAATTATTCGATACATATACAACCATCAGGTATGAATTGTATGATACTTTTAATCAAATTCAATTCCAAAAAACCAAGTAATTTTAAGTTGGGAATCAATGGAACATTTTTGCTTGAATGGCAGAATCAAGATGGAGGTTGGGGACTACACATTGAGGGCGATAGCACAATGTTTGGTTCAGCATTAAGCTACATTACCTTGAGGTTGTTGGGAGAGGGACCTGAAGATGGCGAAGACAAGGCTGTGGCTAGGGGCAGAGAATGGATACTTAACCATGGTAGTTTAGTAGCGGTTCCATCCCTAGGAAAGTTCTGGGTTGCGGTATTCACTACATCCCTACCAATTGTAGATATCTCCGTAGTATAAGTAGACCTCTCTCACTTTTGGGTTTCCTTTTTACGTGGAGGTACTTGGGGTGTACGAGTGGGCGGGCTGTAACCCTTTGCTCCCAGAGTTATGCCTTCTTCCTGAGACTTTTCCCATTCATCCAGGTCCACTTTTCACCTGCTTATGTTTATAATTGTACTCTAGGTGGTATAATTTTTTGGTAGAATAATCCAGGTGGTATATGTTTCTATGCATTTTCCTTCTTTTATGAAAGTCTAGTCAAAATGATTAAAATTAAGTAATCTGGATTAGACTTTTTTAACTTGAAGGGAAAATATCAGTGGAGGAATTTTTTGGTTCTCAAGTTCTGTGTTCATGAGTTTTAGGGACAATGACGTGCTTTGCTCGGTTGGGTTACCTATCGGTGTCATACATATATGGAAAGAGGTTTGTCAGTCCAACTACCAGATTGGTTAAGCAACTAAAGGAGGAGCTTTATAATGAACCTTATCATCAGATTAACTGGAATAAAGCCCGAACCACGGTTGCAAAGGTTAGTTAAGGTTTACACAATGATAGTTCATATCAGTAACAGCTGATAAATTCATTTTGCTATTGGCTAATTCAAAGTACCTTCTCAGGAGGATACCTACAGTTCGCTTTCTCTAGCACAAGATTTGACATGGGGATTCCTCTACCATGTCGCAGAGCCACTTCTGACATGCTGGCCCTTCTCCATGCTAAGAGAGAAGGCACTGAAAGTTGCAATGGAGCATATACATTACGAAGACGAGAACAGCAGGTACATAGGCATGGTATCTGCATTAAAGGTAATGTCTAACTGAGCAAACGTGAGAATGAGAGTGTATGCTTTCCGCAAAATTAATCGGTTTATTAGTCGTCTGTGCTATTTTGTTACAGATCTTAAGCCTCCTTGCCTGTTGGGTGGAAAATCCAAACTCAGAAGCACACAAGCGACATTTAGCCAGATTGCCAGATTATTATTGGATTGCAGAAGATGGCTTGAAAATTCAGGTTAGGAAGATGACATGCATGATATTAAGAAAACCTTTAGAAACTTGTTAAGGTTTGGTGGATAGTTTGATATCTTCAGATATTGAAAATGTTAGTATACATATGTTAGACAATACTAAAAATAGCTTAACTGAAAATGCAGAACATTGGTAGCCAGTTGTGGGATACAGCTTTTGCTATACAAGCAATTATCTCTAGCAATCTAAGTGATGAGTATGGGCTAACACTTTGTAAAGCACATGACTTCATAAAAGATTCACAGGTTAAATCTTAGTGGCAAATGTACTTAATAGATGCCTTCTGAAGAGGTTTGCTTAAGAAAAAACTAAAATACTAGATGATTTGCTTTAACAGGTCCAGCAAAACCCTTCTGGCAACTTCACTGCTATGTTCAGACACATCTCTAAAGGATCTTGGACATTCACCACGCAAGATCAGGGCTGGCAAGCCTCTGACTGTACTGCAGAAGGTTTAAAGGTAATACTACTGCAACTCTATTTGATAGAGATATGTAAGTAATTAATTATACATTTCTTTGGATTTTCCCAAAGGCTTAAGGTTGGTAGCAATTTTCCTCTATAGTGTGCACTTCTGCTCTCACAATTGCCACCAGATCTTGTTGGAGAAAAGATGGAAAAGGAGCAGTTATATGATGCTGTCAGTGTCATTCTTTCCTTTCAAGTAAGATGTACATCGCAACCACACATCACAGTCTGCTATGTATACATGAACTCTTCACTTTACTCTAACAACTATTTGCTTCATCTCTTTGTTGTCTATTTGATCCAATACTCCTACTGAAGTGCCAGTTTCATCTCAAATGCAGAGTAATAGAGGGGGTTTCCCTGCTTGGGAGCCTCAACGAGCATACCATTTTTTAGAAGTAATTCATCAGAAAATCCCCTTCTTTTGCTTACTCTTGAAAATTATATTTATAGTCATCTGAATATTGTTTTCTAACAAGTAATTTTCTCCTCTGGCAGAAGATTAGTTCTACAGAGTTCTTTGAATCTGATCTTGTAGAAATGGAGTAAGCTTTTTTAAATATGATTTTCCACCTTGATATTGGTCCCTATTTTCTCTCAGCAACAATAATTTTTATCAATCTAGGTATGTAGAATGTACTTCATCAGCTATTCAAAGTCTTGCACTCTTTAGGAGATTGTATCCCAAGCATCAGAGGAATGAGATAGACAGTTGCATTTCACGAGCAGCTAGTTACATTGAAGAGGCACAAAATCCAGATGGTTCTTGGTGAGTATAACAGACATTATGTTCTTGACTTTGCCTCCATGTAATTAAAATAGTCGCAGTAGTATGCAATCAATGTGTGGATTAATTATATTATTTATGTGTGTTTTGTTTTTGATCCAAATAGGTATGGTAGTTGGGGAGTCTGCTACACCTATGGTACATTGTTTGCAGTGGAGGGGCTCACTGCATGTGGCCGAACCTATCGCAACAGCCCTACTTTGCGTAAAGCTTGTGAATTTCTATTATCAAAGCAGCTGCCTAATGGTGGATGGGGAGAGAGTTACCTCTCCTGCAGCAAGAAGGTATGACATTTAACATCTAAAGGAGAAAAAATAAGGACATCTTATTCTTTCTTTGGGGTCAAGTAATGGAATTACAATCATTCGTCAGAATAGTATAGTTCATGCAAAAATCATCATTCAGAGGACAGCTTTTCTGTATCACACCAAGAATACTTTGTATGACATATCTTGCTTTTCTGGGATAGGAGTATATAAACCTGGAAGGCAACCGAGCAAACTTGGTACAAACAGCCTGGGCTTTGTTATCCCTAATTAAAGCAGGACAGGTTAGTATAGATATCTTATGTCAATTTTCAAATGTTTGAGCTAATAAAAAAAAAAAAAATTTCAAATGTTTGAGTTTGACTTAATTTGAGAGGAAAATTGGTTCCAGACATCATATTACATTAGCAGAAGTCTCGACCGTCAAAGAATCTAATCTCTTATAAATTAATTTATCAAAAAACTTATGTTTCTATTGCAACATGAATTTGATATATTCCTGAATTTAAGATGCTGAATGTTCTGGCTTACAGGCTGAAGTAGATCCTACCCCCATCCATCGTGGAATTAAGGTCTTGATAAATTCACAAATGGAAGATGGTGACTTCCCTCAACAGGTAAACTTTTTTTTTTTAATTCTACCTTTGAAATACACGTACTCCAATTAGGAACTATATAGTTTTTTACGGGCTTAATTCAATTTTTAATCTATTAACTATCACCTTGATTTTATTTTAGTCTAGAAACTATGTTTTATTTCTAAGTGGTCTATTAACTTTCAAATTCATTTCAATTTCGTCTACTTGGTCAAAGATAATGGAAAACTTCTTATTCTATTAGAGAACCGTTAGTCCTCTGATTTTTTTTTTTGATCTTTTAGTCCTTAAATTTATATTTGTTATAAAAATAA